GGCATGCATTGATGCCGGGCATCTGTGCGGCACCATAACCGGCAGCCATCCGGCACATGATGGGTAAGCGTTATTAAGAGCGGCACCCTATCCTAAATAGGAGCGGCGAGACCCGCTTTTTCCGATTTGAAGAGTCCATTTGGCAGTCCTGGGCCAGTTTGCGATATTGAAGGCTATTGGCAGCGCTGCTTAATCCTGTCGCTGCCAACGCATTGCCTGCATGGTAATCCTGTACTTTCTTCGATGATCCGCTCACTCGGAGGGAGTCGAGAGCGCTATACGTACGCGTGCTTTCTTTTGGAGAGATTGGACCCTTTCAAACTTGCTCACTTTGCTTTGTGATTGGAGAGCCTGGATCGTGGACGGTCATGGGGAACAATGAACAGCAGCCGCACGCAAGCCGCTCGCCAGGCCGCGACGTCACGTGTGTGTTCAGTCAGCGCGGCCGGCGGCGGCCAGCCAGCAGCTACACTAAGTGGTATCACGTCCCTATCACGTGCTCTGGCGCCAGAGCGGCCGGGCGGCGGCCCGCCCCATGGCAGCCGCGCGCGTAAAGTCGCGCGGGCCGCCCGCCGCGCACGGTGGATTCAAGCTGCAGCGGCGCCCCGGCCGCCCTGCCCGCGTGGGGTTTCAAGGGTTTTTGAAGGAGGGCGGCGGACTCTTCCTAGCAGATCCTGGACCTGTGTCGCCGAGAAGTCGACCCCAATGTGGTCCCGGGTTCAGCGACTCAATACGGGCTACTCCGTATCTGCATGGTCGCCGAGACGTTCATCATGAAACAGAGGTGAAACTGCATGCTTCGACTCAAGTGAGCCTGTTGACAAAATTGCAGCGACATTGTTATCTGTACAAGTGGCAGCCGCTTCTAGAGGGTCAGAATGGCGTCCTCCCTGCTGGCAGAAGGCACTCGCTGCTGTTTCTCCTTACCCCAAGCGCATGGAGCCAAGGACAAGCAATTGGCGCAAAGTCTTCGTCCTCAGCTTAACCAGATTTCTTGTGAGTTGTTTCCTCAGTTCAAGTGCAATGCTGTAGTTGAAATTTCATGTGCAATTCCCATCTTCACGCAATCTATGCTGTCTCCAGTTTGCTTTTCGTAAGTCTTCATGGAGAGGGTTTCCAAACCGAGCTTTCTCAAAATTTTGAAGCGCCACCACTCGGAGGAAGGAGTCCAATAATGTATCTTTGCAGGAAGCGTTCAAGATAAAAGTTTGGCCAATTTATTTTAAGCCAAATGCAGACCTGAGACCTTCAAGGGTGTCATTCCTTGGTTCAAGGGCAATGCTGTGGATGGAACTTCAATCTCCATGACCTTACAATCTATGCTGTCCTTCAGTAGCCTTCGCAATATGGACATGGTTTCCCACAATCGCTTTTTCTTCAACAGCGCCACCACTTCAGTAAGAACTGGATTTCCAGCAGGACTGGGGGAAGCGTCGTCTACTAGGAGTTCACAACAGGAATCCTTTCATCATATGACTCGCCAACTCATGCGCTTTCACAAGCAGACGAACGGCTTTCTAGAAGGTTGTTCTTCTGATCTCAGGGCAATGCTGTGGCTCAAGCTTCAGCGAGACTGCCGTCTCTAGCAATCTGTGAGTCGTTCAATGGTGTCCCTTCATAGACTTTGTATGAGGGATCTTCAATGGGAAGTCTCAACAGAACCTCTCCATGCAATGGCTTTTCGATCCATGCCTACTTGATTGCAGACCAAAGACCTTCAAGACAATTGAAGGGGGGCAAATGCAGCGTACAAGCGGTACATGATGCTGAGACATCAGTATCAAGGTCGGCACTCCATACCCTCTTGCCAGCTTTTGGTGCATGTCTTGTGCCTGACTGAACAGGGAGACACTTCCTCTTTGTGCATGAAAGTAACTGAGAAGATCAGAGTTGATAACACCCAATGATCACATGCCACAGGAGTTGTGGTGGTCGAAAACCTTCAACCAATCAGGAGCCATGGAAGCCACCAGTTTGTCCGCGCCTCTTGCAACCCCTGATTACTTGTGAAGCACTTTGAGCCAGAATGTAGTTGCTCTTAACCCTCATGATTGTCTTCCCTTCTAACACCCAGTCTCAATCAAGAAAGACCGTCCTTGTCGCTGCAACAAAACGTTTGGTCTCACTCAGCTTTGTATCTGCATTTGCAGGTCTGTTCCCCCATCTCGACGTGAAGTGTTGCAAGCCCTCGCAAGCCTAGCTGTGGCGGGCGCCACTGGAGCATGTTGTCAGCCTGCTGCTGCTGGCGAAGGTAAGCAACATTAAACCCCTCTCTGATGTATCAGTAAAGCGGAAGAGGACAGGTCTTGATTGCGGCGACGCAGAAATGATTGTGATGTGCAGCAAGCATTGTAGTGAGACCTTACCTAAGACCTCAGCACTGATGATGCCTCACTCAAACCAAGAGTTTCAAGCTCACCCATGATTTCGATTCAAAGCACTGCTGTGGGGTTCTTGGCAGCTTCAGTGGTTGGTGTGGTCAATATCTTTCTGCTCTGAAAGCAAGGGTCGCAACCCTTGAGTTCGAGTTGGGTGAATGCGAACCAACCTCCTATCCGTCACTTCTATCTGCAGGAGGCAGCACACAGTTCCTTCCATACATGGACTCCGATGGCAAGTTTGGCCTGTCAATACCCGCAGGTACGGCCGAGCTTTGTATCCACTTAACCAGGATTTCTGGAGGCCTAAGTTGCAAATGGTGCTTTTCTGCTCGGGACAGGGTCTTGTAAGGTATCAGTAGTCTGCCTGACAGTGTTTGGTGCACCTAACCGGGAAGATGGGCAGAACGGCTTACGGTACTTCCTTCTCCGTTTCAGACTGGGCGCAGGGCGAGGGCAAGGCGTCCAGCCAGCGACGCGTGGTTGCCTTCTTCAAGGAAGGGGATACGGACACAAACGGTGAGGCAGTTTCCGCTATTCCCGATTGTGATCAGTTGAGAACTCGGTTTTATCGGAGAGGTCCGACTTCGGCGACGAAATTTAAGGGCTTTTTCTCTCACTTTCATGTGGCAAATACTTACCCATGCAAGCCCATCAACCCAAGGAGGCAACCTCGCGTTTGCACTCTTGCAAAGCAGGAAATATGATGCAAGAGTTGTATCTGCAGGGTTGCTACACCGTTGATGGACGCTTCCATCCGTCAGTCTTCCTTTGCACCCGCTGACCCCCCTTCAGATAGAAGGACCCCAGTTTTTGGCAAAGAACACCAGCAGAACGCGTCGTCTGAACGCTTCTGTCCTCCTGCAGTCAACGTGGTGATCACGCCCCTGTCAGCGGACTACACCAAGATGGGATCGTTCGGCACGGCGGAGGCGTTTGGAGAGACTTTGGTGAGGGTTCCCAAAGTGCAATAAGCAGATTTGCCGTTTACTTGCATCCTGACTCGTTTCAACCTGGGATCCTGACATTCAAAAAAGGGAAACATATCTGTTTCTTGAATTGGTCGACTCTGCCGGGTCAAGGCTTCAGACTGATCATTTTCGCGATGCCCATTAGATCTGGTTCGATAAGCGAACCCCGAGCCTGTCCCTCTGTCCCAATAACGACCTTTGTATGATCGGGTACTCATAGGTTTCACAGGCTCGGTGTGGCAAGGATGAGTTATACATGAGTCGAAAGATTCATCGAAAATCTTGTCCCTCCTCCTTGAAGCCGCATACTGTCCTACAGTAGCTCCTGAACCGTTGTCGGTCACCGTGAGTAAGCATCTGGTTTAGCAAGAGACTTTGGAGTATCTTGTGCGGTCTCGTTCTGGTTGAAAACTTGGAGAAGCTGGTTTAAGGTCGTCAAACTGTTCTCGTTTCAGAAAGCTTTGGGAACAAGGTAGCCTTGTCCTTAGTTGCTGCCTTGAGTGTGCTTCTACGTGCTTTCGGTTGATCCAACCTGTTCGGCAGTTACACGCTAAACGGTACCATGTCTCGGTGCCGCTTCTCACCTTACCAATGTTAAAAGGTCACTGCGGCGATAGCCACGATTTTATGGTCAGTCAAAAGCTGTCCACGGACCCTGTTGCGTGCACTTCTGCCGAGACCTATCTCAATCGACCGTTCGGCCTCCTTCCTTTTCCTACACTTGAGTTCGTGCTGGCGGCTACCTTCATCGGAGGTACCACCTGTCTTTTGTCATCAAAGCCTCCTGTCCTTTCCGTGTTTTCCATTGGAACTTTCTGAGGCAAAGACTAGACACGATTTTGTGTTCCGATGGCAACCTGCTGCATAAGGTTAGAGGCCGTAAGTAGAGTCAGCACATCAAGAGGATGAATTGCTGAAGGTTTGATGCTGTGGCCTTTGTCTTTCCTCCAAGCACCGGGTCGCACCTCTGACATACAGGCGATGCTTGCAAGTCCTTCGTTTTTCCTTTGATTTATGTCGTTAGCCAGCTCATGATGGTTCCTCAATCCGTAGTCGCTTGTGTTCCTAAGTAGTCCTCAATATTCTCAGGCGGGTTTTGCCGCTGTTACTGTTGGCTGTCGCTCCTTTCCATGACCAAATTTGAACTCTCAATCGTGCTGCTGAACTGGAAAAACATGCGCTGCTACTCTCTAGAGTTTACTCGTTCCGGTAAATCCTTTGTTCCTTCTCGTCTACTGAACCGCTACGAAGTCGAACCGGAGCGCTTTATGTTGGGCCATGATGAGCCGAACGTGAGTTGTGTCTGCAGCTCACTAGCAAGGACACACTCTTCTTTTGACGCCCACGCCCAGGTAGTCCCTTTTTAGCAAGAGTTATGAAGACCCGCTGTGCGCGGTTTTTCTCCATCCGTTCTTCCAAGCACCGGGTTGTGCCGACAACAACGGGAAGGTTGGAACTGTGATCGGTCAACGCAATTGGGCCGTCTGATTCTTTTCAACGACCAGTCTGACTGCCCCCCTGTTAAGAGCGTCAGGACCCTACCATCAGTCTTATTTTCGCCTAGGTTCGATCATGTCATGTGGAGCTCCCCGTCGTTCTGACTTCCATCTGCAGATCATACCAGAGTTCCACGGCGTCCGGTTCTTGATGCTTGCAGCCTACTGTACCTCAGTGAATGATTTAATTTGTTTCTGTGCCACGTTTTGTTCCATTCGTTGTGGACTTCAGTAATAGGCGCTTTGTTACTCAACCTTTTCAGCAAAGTGTATGCGGCTGTGAGGATACCTGGGCTGGGCACACGTGTCCAGAAAGTGGCGGCCGAGGATCTGAAGTTGCGATTGAGTTTATGACGTGATGTTGCAACTCCTCTCCTGGGTTTATTAGTCTTCGATTTGCTAGCTTTGCCTGCAATACTTATGTTCCCGTGTCACCTCCGCTTGCAAACGAGCCCTAGGGAGGATCTACTGACGTCACGGGCCGGGACCTTATTTTGCTTACGATGTACGAGAACGTGGCTGTCGAGCTTCAGGCTCTTTACAACATATGTACAACTGGAGAATCAGTACAGGTGTTGACTAAGCAGTCTCTTGATTCTCCACTGTTGCATTTCGCCCTTCTAGCAGCGAGTTTGACTGGCAAGGATGAACTGGGACTGGGTTTGCGAAACACGCCCATCAGAATATCTGTGGGTCATGATGCCATGTGTCAAGAAGTACACTCCGCCCAGTCATATTCTTTCTTCCATGATCTTCGGTCCTTGCTTCGGACGCAAGCTGTAGTCTAGCAGCCTACTGCTGTACTCACTAGCTGAGAAGCATCATTTCGCACTTTGCACTTCGCCGTCCAAACAGCGTCAGCAGTTTTGATGGCTCCTGCCTTCACCGCGGCCGGACATATCCTTGCATTTTGGGATTACCTCAACATTCTGGTTCCGTATTCAGCATGCCATTTACCGACTCTGGTTCTTTGCTTACGGCCCCTTCAAGTGCATAAAGATGGTCCTTGTAAAAGTCTGTGGGTGTGTTTCGGTGCATTGCTTCTCGAGGTTCGTTTTAGAAACCACACCAGAACGGCTCTCTTCAAAGCGGCACTACTTATCCAGAACCTGCATCCTAAGCTCAGAAAAGCGATTTAAAAAGTGGCGGAATCTGGGTTCTCTGCTTTGGAGTTGTTACCACAGCCTGTGCTCTGAGTTTTCTTTGAGTGTCAAGGACTGTGTGCGCCGAAAGGCACAGATCGACCGAAATGTGCAGAGCATGTTCGTCTTGTCTTCGACCAACCCGTAGTCTCCGTCCCTGCGTGTTGTCTTGTTCACTCCTTTTCCAAATTGTGCCTCAAAAACCGTGTCACAGTGCGGTGTTGGAGTCACAGTGCCGACCTCCGGCGTCCTGAAGCTTTGGGACTGGGCCCGATAGTCATCGGACGGTCACAGTGGCTCTTTACGGCTTTTGGACGCTCCCCAGACACCTTCTCTAGACGACGATCAGCCTCTTTCAAACCGTTGTGAATTTGTCGGACAATTCCGGGCGATGTCTTGAAGATGTTTGGACCTTCGCCACAATCTCTTTGAGTGACGGGCAGCCAGAAGTGCTTACTTCTGGACGGACCATTCACGATTTCAAGTTTTCCTAGTTTCGGACTGCCCTTTGGAAATACTGGACCAGGTTCGGACGGTCCTGCATTCTCTGGGCGCCGTGGACACTGCTGCGGAGCATTTTCCAGACCGTCCGTACTGAGTTTCTACTCGTGTCTATACGTTCTCCGGACGGTTTGCAGAAAGCGTTAGAACGGGCTTCAACTGCCACGGCCTTTGCTGACGCTAGCGTGACGTCCCTGCAGGTGAACGGGTTGGACCGGAGTTGGGCGAAGCCGAAAGGGCCGGAGGCCAAACTGCTGGACGCTAAAACGAAAAACGGTGAGCCGAAAATGCGGAAACTGTTTTTTGAGACGTGCTTCTTGATGTGCTTTGTGCGCGGCGTCATGTTGAGCCGACGTTGAGTTTGGAAGCTCCGCTGAGAAATCTGCTTAACAGATTGACGGAATGGTTGCAATAAGTGTGATCGATAGAGCTAGTTTAGAACATCCTTTAGCTTTTTTGTTAAACCATGTCTTGGCCCTCCTCGTCGAAAAAACCATTCCAAAAGGCCCCTTCTCCCTTTGCGCTTCAACGGGAGATCGGATGCAAACGACGTGCCAAATCACTGTTTCCAAATCACGCCTTGAGGAAAATCGTACCTTTTTATCCGGACTAGGTGCGAGTTCTCCGGCTTTACCTGCTTCCGGGATTTCCAACTCACGTTACAACACCCAGACAAGCCGCCAGGGAATCGCAGACGCTTGGGTCGAGATTTTGGAGGCGGACTGTATACCCTCGCTTGGAGCAAAAAGGTTCAGGTGCTTCGTGGACAGCGTTCCGTCGGCAATCGAACGAACGCTTCAGTGACGCTCAAATTTTTCGATTCTTCAGAAGATTCTGCCTCGTACTCACGAGTAGCCACCGTTGTCTCAAAAGTGCGTCAATCACCCTGACAGAGTTCTTGCAAATGACAGAGTATTTGTTTGCAGGGCGCTACTTCGTGGAGTACACGTTCCAGGCCCCCGGCCAAATGAAGCGGCACCTGATGAGCAGCATCGGCATGGGCTTCGATGGAACCTATAACCGGCTCTACACCGTTACCGCACAGGTAGGAATAATTATTCTCGTAGCTAGCATCAGGCCTCAATTGTCTTGGATGGCGTCAAAAAACGGGTTGCGTAGGTCGTCAAAGAGATCAAGCTCCGTTGTATGAGATACAGCGTTCTGCTTCGTTTCAATTGGAAAAGACGGATCGCACCAACTTGATTTGAACCGCGCTCACTTGAAGAGGAACTCGATTAACGAGCCCTGTCGCATCAGGCTTTGTTCATGCTGGGTCTCAAGGCTTCGCACTTGCTCGCGGGTCCACGTGCCGTTCTTCTGACAAAGAAGAACGGTTGAGTGTCTGTGGAGCCCGCTTGTTTTTGTTGGGTTGTAGCCTTGACGAAGTCTCAGACGTCGAAAGGTTGGATGTCATAGGCGTTCTTCAATGTTGAGTGTTTGTACTAGAGATGCTCGGGGTTTGTCATCTCCGCGTGCTCCTTTATTCAAGCTCACGGACTTTGGTGCGCTTCGTGTGTTTTCTCAAATGAAAACGACAGCTCGTGTGAGGCCTATCAAAAACTTGCTACCCTTTTCTTGAAGGGTTCTCGAGCTGACAAGCAATCGCGCGCATTGCGGTTTCTTCCGACGCTAGGCGCCACTTTCAACTAGTCTGCAATTCTGTCTGTGCCCAACTGATCTCATCGTGCTTCGTATTGACGCACAATAGCGCACTCTCTGAGGAGTCTCGTCTGTTAACGACGGCGTTGTGCTATGCAGGCTAGGGAAGAGGAGTTCGCCCAGTATGCAGGCGTGTTGAACAAGGTGCGCAGCAGTCCTTACGGTCCCGTTGCGTCTCCTTTCGTCCTTGAATGGCTGCCCATTCAGCAATTGCGCCTAGCTCTTAGTTTCTGATCATTGCTTTGACTTCATTTTTGCTCCGGAGTGTTTAAGGCGCAGCCCCTACAGTCAATTACGCGGAATCATTACACGCTCCTTTTTCTTGAGAGACGAGTCTCGTTGAGCCGACTTTGCCAGCAAATAGCGCGTTTGCTATCAATCTCCGTCCGACGGCTCTTTGCAAGTTCTTGGCAAGATTGCCAATGGCTCGGCGCCCTTATCGGAAGCCTTCATCAGCGGTTTTTATGCGAAGAGGGTCTAAATCGATGTTTGATGGACTCTAACCTGCTTTCCCTCTTCTTGGAGCAGGTCCTTTCGTCGTTTGAGTTGAAGTTCAAGAGCCCCGTATACTAGCCGCATTTGACTTGGGAAGCACGGAGGCGTTGAGACTCATATCTTTTTGACAGAATAGTTTGTCCTTATTGTATTCGAAACCGTGTTGAAGAAGAGATTTTCAGGCCTTGCCGATCATTTCTGGGTGATTGCGCTTGCTTGGACTCACTTTCTCATGAAAATTGCGCTTGCTGGGAATCACTTTCTCATGAAGGTTGCGCTTGTACGCACCAGAATCCGTCCCGTGCCCTGTGAATCAAGAGTCTTGAGCCTTTCCTTCTTATATACGACGTAGGCTTCCATAGCTCTTGGAGGGCCGTTTCGTTTTGGTCGACTGGGTGGTTGAGGCCTAATCTGTCTAGTGGCATCCTTCACCGCGCAAGACAAGCCACTCAAAGCATTTATTACATCCGAAGAAGTCCATGCTGAATGCAAGAAGTGATTGAATCTGTACTTAGTACGTTGGTCAGCGGCCTAGGGGCACGTTTGCTTAGTACTCCCGTTGTTGTTCTCATGCTGAAACTCGTATTGTCTGTCGATACTTAGCTGTGGCCGTGATGAGTCAGTCGCGGGTGCTTCCCCAAGCCCACCTCCCAGTTGCTCACTGAGGCCACAGCTGTCACATAGCTTAGAAGAGCGTGCCAATGGTCCTGGAAGCTTCTGCTGCCCCTTCAGAACGTTGCTGCGGCTTTGTTACGAAACTTCGTTTTCGTGTTGCGTACTCGGGAAAACAGTCTACAAATGAGTCTCTCAGCAACGTACGGACAGGATTGTCGACATGTATGGCTGTTGAGATGGGTTAGTCTGCAGTTCAAGCGGAACGTGGTCCCGGCGTCTCTGTGCCGTGTAGCAGCGTTGGTTCTTGCTTTGCTTCAAGTGTATGAGAAAGCCCTCAGACTGGTCCAATCGCACCTTTTAGAACCCGTTTCCAGAGCCAAAGCCCTAGTAGTTCCGCTTGTCAGTTTGTGAAGAATCTGCTCAAGCGTTCTTTTTAATTATGCCAAAGCTCTGTTTGTTTCCCCTCCCTTGCTCGTCCCTTTGATACTGTTGCCGAGTTTTCAACTCCCCTTCGCTTGCTTAAGAATCATACTCCAATTGGCTCGTGACTGCTGTAAGTGTCGATCTCCGAACAAGACCCAAAAACGTCGTGCAACCAGTCAATATAACGTGTGGCAATGATTGGCCTGGCCTGTGAGCATCTTCCACAGCGGGAATACCGGTGTCCCTGACGCCAGGACAATATTACGATTGATATTACTGACTGCAATACTCGAGCTACTTCATGAGAAAGTGCGTGACTTCCACTTCCAACCACTGCAGTTCAATGATCGTGGAACACGCATACGGAGACAAAGTTTTGTATTCCTTTGGGTGGCCTTGGGCCGGGCGATCCGGAAGTTTTGAGGGGCGACTCCATAATAGAGGTTGATTCCTGTGGGCTGTTTTTTATGAATCCACGACGTTGTGGCTTGAGGCCAGCAACGCCTTTAGAGATAAGTCAGAAAAGGTCCTCGCCGTTTGCATGCTTTATAGACAGCCTGCCTGGAGTCTTTGCTTCCACCAATTATTGCTTGCATACGGATTGTGATTCCTGGTCCTGTGAAGCCTTTCAATGGACTGGGTCCAACTTCTTTCGTGGCGGAAGGCAGTAAGTCCCATGCTATTGGCAACGAGAATTGGTGCTTCAAACCCGCGGACTGTGACAGGTTCGGTAAGTGGATTGACAAAATTGCGAAACTGAGCTCACAATCTGCGCCGAGACATTGTACACTTGCACAAACGCCGCTTTGCGGTTATTTAAACTCGGAGCTTTCCGATCCACAGCGGGGACTGGAAACATCAAGCTTATTCCCGCCACATTTCCGCGGCAGTTGCTGAGCTTTCGTGCCTATGCGTGCTTCAAGGCAGTCACCTGGCAGCCATCTTAACGAAGAGGTACGAAAGGCCACGTAGTGTCCGCTCTCTTTGATGCCTTGCCGTTATGCTGCCTCGTGCCAGAGTTCGCTCCGACGAGAAGCTCATCACAGATGATTTGTTTAGTGAAAGGGACGGCGAATAACTCGGCCGCCACGGCGTGAGTTACCGGGAGAATAACGGATTAGTGCTCACTTCGTGGCAGGGACGAGTCGAACTTGAGAAATTTTGCTCAAGGTCGATGCTGCTCCTACAACCTCAGACAGAGCCACGGTCTTATCAGAAAGTTGATGCAACTCTGCGTAGAGCCTAGTCTGAAGGTGAACAACTCGCTCGTTGTCTTTGTACCAAGCTGACAAGTCTTGCGCCTCGGGCGCTTCCGTCTCGGATGATCGATTCAGTTGTTATGCGGGCGTCTAGTGCTCTTGAAAGCCTGTTACTCTGGGGTCCGGAGATTTAAGGGCTTCCTCAACTTTCTGCTGTGGTTTGGATAAGTTGGGTAAGTTGAGTAAGTTGCTTATCCACTCGAAGTATCCTCTGACGCCACATCGGTTTTGTAAATTGAGCGTGCAAGCCGAATATGGCTCGTCGGACTTCTTTCCGCTGTCAATTCAGAGACTGTGCTGCAGCTTGTTGGTTTTTTCGATCCTGCGTACTTGGATGACCATTCAGAAAGTGCAATAATGAACTCGGTTGTCGACGTGTTTGGCTGTCGAAGGGTCCTTCTGTGTTCTCATAAATCCAAAGCAAGCTTCACCCATCGTGCTTTGAAAAGCCTTCCTCTGTGACACTGCTTCGACATTTAAGAACTTTGCTCTGATACGTTGAACTTCAAGGTACCGTTATGAACCCCGTAGTCGGACTGTCCATCAGAAGTTGCTGCCGTCATGGAGCTGCTGGAGACGATCTCGACCAACTTTCGATTTGGTATCGAACAGACTGAAGTTTCGCTGAGTGATGTTCCCGACTTGCCCGTCCGAAACCTGTATCAAACTTGCCCATCCGAAATTGGATCAATCCGAAATTTCGGTGGTTTACCCTTCTTTTCCGAGGCTTGGTTGTTTTCTACAAAGCGATGCTCTTCTGGAAACCGGGCATCCGACTCGTACAAGAAAGTGGCGAAGAATGGTATGTCCTACACACTGGATCCAACGCGTTGTTCACGTGCTTCCTTACATAGCTCTGAATCCAAAAATTGGAGCACTTTGTTCTTTCCTACTCTTCTTGAGAACCGGGGTTTGCTTTCGTTATGTGGGCCGTCCCTGACGTATCTTTCAGCTTTCTCAGGCTCGGCTCATGTCAATGTTTTGGGCTGCTACCGATTAGAATGCGGGCGAAGATGAGCCGTCCAGTGAGTGCTTTTGACCACTCAGAAATTCGTGCGCTAGGCTTGCAGGGACTGACGCCCGACTCTGTCTTGCTTGTTGAGTTTCCACGAATAATGACCTCACTGCTTGCAGCCGACTGAGTGCGACGATCAAGCCCCTTTTTGTGGCATTTCTCTCAAACGCCTGTGTGCTACTTCTGGTCCTGTGTACCGCCTTTACCACATGCCCATGGTAGACATGGCAATCCTTATCCTGCTTGTTCATTCTTACTTCGTTCCGCGTAGTAGCTCGCTTGATGCTGCATCGTCCGTTTGGTAGCGTCCGCCCAGCGTCGATTCTTCGCTCCAGCTTTGCTCGCTGTTCTTGCTCTCCTCCTAGTCGAAGGACATCATTTTGCCCTTTCCTTTCTGCGCGAACCTAAACGTAACCCTTAGTCCGCGCGTCCGGCAGAAGCCCGCGCACCCTTTCTCTGCGGTGCTCTCTTTTGGCTGCACTCGAAGTTTTCTCAAAATCTGAGAGAAGTTTAGATTCAGGAAAGAAAGTTAGGGCGTTATAAAGGCAATGCCGAGCTTCTTGTGAGTAGTATGCCTCACTCTTGTTGAGTTCTTTGAGATGGCTCTGACGCCGCCGCCCTGTCATACTGCGATGGAAGAGGCTTTTTGAAACTGTGCCCTCTATGCCTGCGAACCTTTCTGTCTTGATGAGGTCAGTGGGATTAGCATTGTAAGAGGCAGGTTTTCCAAGCACCAAGTCATACCATCTGATTGTCCTCCGAAGATTCCCTGTTTCTCTCTACAATGGTTCGAGTCAACGGGCAAGCCCGTGGAGAGCACGGAAGAATCATCTGATCGATCCTATTAAGCATGCTGGCAGGCTACCTGCCATCCGACATCAGTGAAAATATCAGAGCTGTAAAATTCAGTTCTTGCATGATGAAGGCATGTGCGACCGTTAACACCTTTACAATGTGCTCCGTATCAATAGTAATCATTCTTGGAGTACATCCCAAGTGTCACAATCGAGCACGCTTTCCGGTTTTGACGGTAAGAGCAGTCAGGAACGTCCTGGTTGATTTGACGAACTGTAAAGAAGGTTTCACTCGGTGGTACCGGTGGCTTTCGGCAGCACTTTCTACTTTTGTCGTGGCAAAGATAAGCCGGACATGGGTCCTCCAGCTCAGGCCAGTGTACGTACAATGGACCTTTGACGTCACGGATGTCATCATCGCCCACCGCGCGCGCCTTAATTGCGATTGCCTTCCTGGACTTTTTGCTTGCACAGTGTGACTAACTTCTGACCGCAAGTCATTCTTGCTTCTGCCCAGTGCTCTTACTGCGACGCTGCCCGTTTGCAAGAGAGATCATCTTACGTTTTTCCACCTGTGTCCGGCCACAGTTTGTTCCTGGGACTTTCAAGAGCGGTCTTTGATTGCAAATCTCCCGCTGTACTATGTGCGTATCACGAGACAAGGCCGTGAATCCAGGCGAAATGAGCTCCCGGCTCAAACAGCACCGCGAATGCCTGATATGAAGCCGTAGTAAACAAAGAATTAATAGATTTTCCAAGGGGTGCGGAAGGCCGAAACACCAACTCGCATCGGTGCAACTTTTTTGACTCTGTCAGGTGCAAGAAGGCGTTTTGACCCTCCTTGATTGGAAAAGTTTGTTTTCCCCTTGCCGTTCGACCGCGCGTCCATTGCTTAGTCCTATATGAACCTCGAGGGACGTACGTAGTAAGGACGAGTGCTCAAACTTGCGCAGTGTTGTGGCGTCCACCGCTTGCCAAGTGATGCCGTGACTGCATCACGGTGCGGTCAGACTCCTGTACTCAGGAAGCGCTTCTCTTAGCAGCAGTTGGATCCAAGCCTGGCGCGTACAATAAGACCTGAAATGACGACAAACGGACGGAAACATCTTAGCCCGTATTCATCAAAATTTCTGAATCGTCGAAATCGTTGCTTCGAAGTTCGAGCTGCTTTCCTTCTC